ACTTCACTACCCGATAAGCATATGCTTATGCTTATCGGGTAGTGGTCAACTACTCCATAACATCCCGATGTAAGAGACAGTTCAGCAGCAGTTCCCATTTAGGGCACATGTGCCCTGTCAATTCTCAGTGAACCTCCAGAGACATCCATCTTTAAGAACCGCAATACCTGAACAGGGTGAGTAACCACTGTTCTATTCACAGACCTGTTTGCTAACAAAGAATGTGTCATACCAAATCCGCAAAACCAATCCTAAGCATTTACTTATTCAATACTTAGCTTCAGCATTTTAGCTGAATAAAAAAGGAATTGGTATTCATCCACTATAAATAATTTTCAGTTGGGTCAGATGTGTAATTATAGATTGCTCAATATGTTTCTACAGCCTCTAAGTCCATACAGCATTTTTCTGCAGCATTAGCCATTTATTGCTCGAAATATTTTGCTAGAAAGGTTTAAAAATCTTAGAGTAATAATTTACATAGTTCATCTTATTACTTCAGCTCTAATACAATTTAGTACAACTCAATACCAACATTACTTGGAAAAATGCATGGGGGGAAATTCTAAACTTTAGACCAAGCAGCTCTTCATATATGTACTTATCACCAGCCAAATGTTGTAAAGGTAAGTCTTCACGATTGGGTGACTTTCTGAAAGAAAAAGCCACCAAACATGTTACAGCGGGTTTTGGTCACGACCACTTATATTACATACACATTTTTTTGGGGAGAGGGAGAAGGAGGAAGATGGGCTCTAATCACATGAACAGGACCTTCAACAACCCATATCCACACAGGAAAAATGTAAAAAACAAAAAATAGTCTAATAGCACTTTAAAGATTTTAACAGACTCCTGTAACTAGAACTATCTATTTATCATCTATGTTTACGTCTACACTGGCATGATTTTCTGGAAATGCTTTTAACGGAAAAGTTTTCTGTTAAAAGCATTTTCGGAAAAAGCGCATCTAGATTGGCAGGACGCTTTTCCACAAAAAGTGTTTTTTGTGGAAAAGCGTCGTGGCCAATCTAGACGCGCTTTTCTGCAAAAAAGCCGCAATCGCCATTTTCGCGATCGGGGCTTTTTTGCGGAAAACAAATCTCTGCTGTCTACACTGGCCCTTTTGCGCAGAAGTTTTTCGGAAAAAGACTTGCCCGAACGGGAGCAGCATAGTATTTCCGCAAAAGCACTGACGATCTTACATAAGATCGTCAGTGCTTTTGCGGAAATTCAAACGGCCAGTGTAGACAGCTTGCAAGTTTTTCCAGAAAAGCAGATGATTTTGCGGAAAAACTTGCCAGTCTAGACACAGCCTACATATTTTGTTAGTCTTTGAAGTGCTACTAGACTAACTGCGGTTTTAATTTTTTCTTGTTACAAACTAAGCTACCCCCTGAAGCTTTTCATACCCACAGATATAGAACACCTTTTATTTTTAAAAATGTTGGTTTCTGAACTTGCATACACAGATTTCCTACTTGTATGAATGAGAGTGAGCATCATTACCACCACACTATTCGATTACTGATATTTGACATCTATTAACCTCATGAATTTGTTTTGGTTTTTCGACTACTCTGTGTAGTCCTTGGGGGTGAGTCTGGCAGCCAACAAGCTCTGGCCCCACTCCCAAGGAGCCCTCAGCCACTCCACACTGCTGCTTCTGTATCAGAGGCAGCAACCCAGGGTGCCAG